GGGGGGGGGGGGGGGGGGGAATGCCCCCAGCTTGCATGTTAAAAGAGGCCCTGCACCCCCAGCAGTTCCGGCCTTGGCGGCGACGCAAGTCATTGCATTGCAACTGCAGGGGCGTGGGAACCATCAAAAAGTTGGGGGGGAGGCGGTTTCGAGGGGCACATTTAGAATAAAAAGGGACCTAAAAATGGGGGGGGGGGAGAAAAATAAATGCAATCATAAAGGGCATCTAAAAATTTTTTCCCGGAAATGTTGGCGACGGCGGGGGGAAGAAAAATAAATGCAATCATAAAGGGCACCTAAAAAATTTTTCCCGCCGGAAATGTTGCGGAAACCTCGGCATTAGTCAAAGGCCATTGAGGCAAAAATGCAATCTGAACAACATTTTTCACAAAGGCAAAGGGCATTTTCCCACCTGAAAAAGGGCACTTTTGAAAACTTGGAGGGGCCTTGGCCCCCCTAGCCTCCTGCGCAGACGTTGTTAGTGGACGAGGCCCCACGCCACTAGCAACGTCTGCGCAGGAGGCTATGGCCCCCCGGTTCCTACGCCCCTGATTGCAACCGTGTAACATGGCCTATACTCCCGGTTGCACTTTTCAACAATAGATGCAGTTATCAGTTTTGGCTGATAATCTCTCAAATGGGCATAATAGTTTTGAGGCGTATGTCAACCCTATTGAAACTACATTTGAAATTCAAAACATTTCTGTAGTGGAGGTAAAAAGTGAAATTTCAAGAATCAAAACTTCCAAAGCTACTGGACATGATCGTGTATCACCAAAACTTTTGAAAGATAGTGTGGAAGTAGTTGCCGAATCCCTCACAAATATTTTCAATAAATCCATTGAAAAAGGCGTATTTCCTGATAACCTTAAGATTGCATGCATATCTCCTATACATAAAGGGGATAGCAAACTAGAATGTTGTAACTACAGACCAATATCTATTAGGATATCTGTAGTAGCTAAAGTGTTTGAAAAGCTTATCTCCAGGCAACTCAATGGATATTTGGAGTCTAACCACTTGCTGTCGGACAGTCAAGCTGGCTTTAGGAAAAAGAGTTCGACTACAACTTCCCTTTTGAATAATACGAACAAATGGTACATCAATATGGATAATGGTCTTTTAAACGGAATTATTTTTCTCGATCTAAAAAAAGCTTTCGACTGTGTCGACCATGATATTTTGATAAAAAATTGTCTTACTTTAGCTGTAAAGGAACCACTTTAAAATGGTTTAAATCATATTTAACGAATAGAAAACAAATGTGTAAAGTAAATCAAGTGACATCCCAACCTCGAATAATTCGTTGTGGTGTACCACAAAGTTCAAATTTAGGCCCAATACTGTTTCTTATTTATATAAACGACTTGCCTAATTATTTAAGAACGACTACAGCCAGTTTGTTTGCAGACGATACTAATCTGACAGCAAGCGGGTGCTCGATTATAGACATCAAAACAAAATTAAACAATGATTTGGAAAATATACATCAATGGTTATTGGCCAATAAATTAACTCTCAATAAGGACAAAACTGAATATACGATAGACGGGTCTAGGCAACGGATTAGCAAAATTGAAGGTGATCCAGAAGTTAAATTAGGAAATTGTAATATAAAAAGAGTGAAAGAAACAAAAACTTCAGGTGTCATTATTGATGATCAGCTAAAATGGAATAATGTCGTTACCAAGGTGTCAAAGGCCATAGGCATGATTCGACGAATGAAAAAATTTGTACCCCAGTCAACATTAATTTCAGTTTATAATGCAATAGTACAACCTCACTTTGACTACTGTAGCCTTGTTGGACATTGGTAATGTTTACTCGCTTGAAAAGCTGAATTTTTTCAGCTTTTTTTTGCAGGGAATTTTTTTGCAACTATGCCTGGGAAGATATTTTCCCCTAATTTTTCCCTGGGAATAATTTTTGTTTTGTTTTGCCCCACCACTAATGGTCCGTCCCGGCCGAATCGCTACGTTGTTGTCAGGATTGATATTCAGGACATATTATACAAATAATGAATGTTTATGAGTGCAATGGTAAGAATATTTTCATGAGGTGAAAGATGGAATGTTCCATTCAACGAGGCGACAGCGAGTTGAATGGAACATTCCATCTTTCACCGAATGAAATATTCTTACCATAATGCACGAATAAACATTCATTATTTGTTTTATATAATACCAAAATAGACTAATAGATTCGTATATGAGAAGCATTTTGACGGATGCGATTTATCGAAAACACAAAGAGTGCAATGGAATAAAACGTATAGTACAATTGCACTCGCAAAGAGTGCAATGGAACGTATTCCATTGCGCTCTTGGGAAATGGAATTTTCTGTTCAATATCACGTGACCATAAACAGCCAATTAAACGATCAGAATTCAATAAGGTATTATATAATATAAAATACATGTATTTATGGCTTACATTTCAGGGGAAAATATCGTAGATCTTGTGAAAGTTCAAGTAAAGAGGGGGGGAGAAAAAGAAGAGAATTTATATTTTCGGACGATAAGGTATGAAAATGTCTTTTTACTGTAATATTGGTTACAAGCAAACTGATCCAATGTGTGACCACGTGCTTTTGTGAGCGGTATCGGTAACAAGGGTTTCAAAATAACCTATTAGCCAGCTCCGGCCGCCGGAGCTCCGGCGGTTACTTTGTTTACTACTTGAAACGTCAATTCTGCTCTCCTTCCTCCATTCTAAGCGTTCAAACAAACTTGTTTTTCCTCAACTTGGTCTATACTTTATACCCTGGTTATTTTCGAAAACGATGTACTATTTCGTAAAACTGATTTAGTTAAGGTTACTTGCCATCTTGTAATAAATCTTGTTGAAGAATGAAAGCAGTGATACATCATAATTTGTGTTGTGTTGCTATCTAATCAATGTACCTAATTAATTTGGACCTAACTAGACCGTCCGCTCCCTAGCCTACAGCCGCCTACTTTATCAAAACAGACACCTGCTCTGAATAATTCTGAAAGCCTGTTTCACATGTCTCTGCATAATGCATGTTATGTGAACACAGTTGAAAATATCCTACAAAAGTATACTATAAGTTTATAATATTTGTATGTGAGAGAAATTAGCAAACCTTAAGAAATAGAATTTGTCATCTTACTGCAGTCACAAATTTTGAGTGTGTATCAACCAAATGTAAATCAATATGTACTAGATAAAACATGAGCAGCCGATCTGCATCTGATATACAATATATCGTACTTATAAAACGACCCATCTTATGAGTTCATTGGCGAAGTAATTTTAAAAATAAACATTGTCTAAGCCGAGAAATTCAAAGCTGAAGTTTATGTAAATCAGGACACATCTTTATCCGATTCACAAACATTGATTAAACATTCATTTCTTTTGTATTTTCCTCGTGAATTATTAATGAATTTTTTAAAATTTATTACTGTATACCAACATAGGATTAATCCTGGTCTAACCTAAAATACAGGCCCTAATTAATATAAATAGGACCTGACACAAAACCTGTCTAAACCATGGGATTCCCGCAGGGGCGAAACTTGAGGGAGTATGGGAGGGTGTGGCACCCCCCCCCCCAAAAAAAAAACCCAACACGAATCATCCCGATTGGCTGAGCAATCAAATATTTTAAATGATAGAATGTAGAGTTATTAAGTAACTTATTACAGCTAGGAAACAATAAGCAGTTCGTATGCATGTACAATGGCATCGGAAGTTCACTTATACACGTAGCGTAGTGATGTATTTTATTAGCGCTGGCGCTGCAGGCTGCAGGGCATCATTGGTTTTGTCAGGGCAATTCTGCCAGATACCCCCTAATTAAAAGGGGCTAGTTTTGCCCCTGGATTCCTGTCCATCTGGTGGACGGGAAATCTGATTGGTTGTCAGCATCATGAAAGATTTTGATTGGTTGCAAGTTCATATTTAATTTCTTTGAATTTCTTTTGTTTTATGCTTCATGGCCGAAAATAAATCAAACAAACAGTATTTTGAAAGGGCTTTATCAAAATATTTGACGAAGTTTGGACACACGACGCTGAAAGAACAGCAAAAGTCATGTATTCGAAGGCTTGTTATTGACAGCCAAGATGTACTCTTTGCTGTTCTGCCAACTGGCTTCGACAAAAGTCTTATTTATCAGGTCCTACCGGCGTTGTTTTGGTTTTCTGAGCTGCATCGCCTTCGTCATGGTACGATAAAGAATTTTGTTCTTTAAGAATTTCGTAAATTATTTGCATTCAGTCATTGCACAGAATTGGCTAAATCTTTGTTTGCTGTTCGGTTAAATAGAGAAACTGAACTCTTAAAAGTACCTTGAAAACAAGGTACCTATATAAAAACAAATAATCCAACATGAAATTCATCTTTATAGTTTGTTCTCACCTATTATTGGCTCACCAATAATTTTGGGAAAAGAAATATTAATTAGCGACTTAAATGTTCATCTCCCAGGAAGACTTCGGAACAAAATACCATTTAAAATTCGCAAGGAGCTGAATGACAAAATACCATTTAAAATTCGCAAGGACTTGAATGACCCCTAGTTTGAGTGTCAATGGGTTACATTACGTCCAAAATGGTTACCAAGAGCAATATCTAAAATTGCGGTGTGCTGCGTATACCTACCACCGAGTAATAGCGAGATAGACAGTTTTTATGAT